CCGCCACAAATAGACTCATCACCTCGAAGGATCACGCCTTGACAAGCTGTCCATTTTTATACCTTGGATGGAATTTGCATTGGTTGCGGTGAGACTAGGGATGGCAATTCTTCCCGATCTCCGCGGAATCCCCACCACGGGGATGGGACGGAAAGGAATATTCTTCCCTATGGGGCGGGGACGGGGATCATTTTCTCCTCGTGAAATTTCTTGGGGAATTTTTCCCGCCTGTGGGGATCTCCATACCCGAAAAAAAAAAAGTTTTTATTTTTAAATTAATTTATTCTTTAAACTCAAACCCAAACTCAAATTCAAATTCAAATTCAAACTCAAACCCAAATCCAAATCCAAATTTAATCCAATTACAATTAAATTTAACCCAATACTATTCAACCCAACCCAACTCTCAACCCAACCCATCCCCCTACATTTAACCCTAACCCTAATTTTTTTTAATTCTCATCACTCAATCTCTTTAACTGCAGCTTCACACATCTCTCACGTCCATCTCACTTTCAGTTTCCCTAATGTTGCTGCTGCTGCCACCGAAGCCATCTGTTGTTGCTGCCGGACCATATGCTGCTACCACCACCGGACCCATCTGCTACTGCTGCTGCTGTTCAGCCAAAGCCATCTGCTCTGCTGCTGCTGTCGGCTGCCACCGCCGGACCCATCTGCTGTTGCCGCTAAACAGCCAAAGCCATATGCTCTGCTGCTGTTGTAGGAGCCATCTGCTGCTGCTGCCGGACCCATCTGCTGCTGCTGCTGCTGCTGCTACTACCACCACCAGAGCCTGCTGCTGCTGTCGCTACTGCCACCGAACAGCCTAAGCCATCTGCTTTGCTACTGTTGCTGGAGCTATTTGATGTTAATTGGTGGCGAATGGGGATCCCCGCGGGAATCCCCGTTCCCCGTGGGAAACGGGGACGGGAGGCAAAATCTGCCTCTCGTAAAAAATCCTCGCGAGAATTCCCGTCCCCGTGATTCGCGGGGACAGGGATGGGGAAGGGATCCCCGACCCCGCGAGGCCCCGTTAACATCCCTAGGTGAGACAAGGCAGAAAAGGAAACCCCAAAAACAAAATCGGAACTAGATCGAGTGGTCAACGAGGTCAGAGAGCAACAGCAAAGTCAATGATGACGGACAATGGAGGCTTCATCGCCGTCGGTGAGAGAAGAGAGTGGAGAGGAAATTCCTTTTGAAATTGAAATTCATGGATTTGAGAGTGAAATTGAAATATACGAGTTTTACTCTTTTGAATTACTTCGATGAAATACATGTATTTCACTTAAATTCAATTACTTTTTATTTATGTAAAAATAAATAGTGATATTGAATTTCAAATGTTGAAATTTAAATACATTATGATTGTGTTTGGAAAAATGTATTTGTATTTAAAATGTATATTTTAAATACATGTATTTGAAATACATATATTTTAAAATATATTGTTTGGATTAAAATAAAAAAATGATTTTTAAATATATGTATTTTTAAATTTATTGTTTGGATATTTTAAAATACTATGTATTTAAAATTGAATTTTTTCTATTAAATTAAATCTTCTTCTTATCATTATTTAAATTTAATAAAACCAAAATTAACTATTTTAACCTTTTAAGGCATTGTTGAAATTACCTTCGGACAAACAAATTGGATAAAATAAAAAAGTAGCAATGATCTCCACCAATTAATTTGTCTTCATGTTCTCCATTTTTTGTTCATTTTTTTTATTGTCATACAATATTTAATTTTTACAAAAATAGATTTATCATCAAAAAATTTCATTATAAAAAATAAAGGAACAAATAGCATTTACAATGATTATCAATTATGTCCATTAACAAGGTAGTTGATGTAACACTTTTTAATTACAAAATAAAACAAAAATATGACATTCTTCTTTAAAGACCTCAAAGTAAACCACTAACTTGAGGTTAAAAATTGAAAAAGAATAAATCCTATATCACCAACAATAAATTAGTCAAACAAACTACCTAACAAAATCATCAACAACACTCACTAGATAAGATGATATCTAACCATTCATGTTAGACTTATATTTGCTGTTGAACCATTATTTTTCTCTAGAAAGAACATCCAAAAGAAAGAAACATGGTGAAACCAAA